GTTTCGGTGAGGGTGGGCGGTCGGCCACCTCGATCACTGCCTCAGGTTGCGCCGCCGCCGCCATCTCGCGATCCCTTGGCAGGGCGGCTCAACTTCCGAAAAAGCCGATTTTCTGTTGGATTGAGCAGACAAGTACCGCCTTCTACCTTCGACGCTGGTCTTTGTCAAGGCAATTCCGCCTACATCAACTGAACCTCGACGCATACATCTGTGCCCATGGCGATAGTGTCTGCGGTCGTGTCCGCGCTTCGCATGGGTGTTGCGCGCGTGGGGTGGTTGCCGCGTTAGATGCATTTTTGGGTGCTTAGATAATCGTTGTGCTTATCTAAGCGACACGGACCCGTCAGTCTAGTGGGAGCCCGCCATTTCAGGTAGCTTATGTAAGCTGCGTTGCAACGCGTTGGTTCAACGCAAATCACTGAAAAACGCCCTCAAATCCAACATCTGCTCCTTCAACGCAACGCAAATCGGGAGTCGCGTTGCGTTGCGTTGCGTTGTTTCCAGCCTTGGTTGGAGCTTGCGGCGGAATTTGACAGGCATATGTTTTCGCCAGGGTTTCCGTGTGGGGCCGAGACCAACCGTCTCGGGTTCCTTATGGCTTCTCAATCCATCCTGTGTTTATATGATCCCAGGTCGCTGGTTGTGATGCTTGCCTACTAGAAGCATCATCGCTCGGAATTGGGTGCAGTTCCATTATTTGCCCCACTTAATTAGCCCCTACGGTTCGTTTTTGCCTTACAATGCACTGATTGGTCGCATCCACGCCTTCCCAATCAGGGCATGTGACGTTGGAAAGCGGGTCCAACCTCGGAATAACGTTTCCGCGATCGGAACCGCTGGGCCGTGCCGTCACAGGTATCAAGGACCGTCACCACCGAACTATCTATCGTCCTCGTATATAGCTCGGAGGTGGCCAACACTATATAGTCCTTGAGCCCTTCGTCATTTATCAGGCTTTGCTATACCTCTCTCCGTTTACGGACATTTAGCTGGTGAATTTGAAGCGTTCCGTACTGGGTTTCGGGGCGCGGTTCGGTCGTTTTGTGAGGGTGGGCGGTCGGCAACCTCGATCACTGCCTCAGGTTGCGCCGCCGCCATCTTGCGGTCCTTTGGCAGGGCGGCTCAACTTCCTGACAAGTCGATTTTCCGTTGGATTGAGCAGACAAGTACCCCGGTGTCGCGTTCCTCCAAGTCCCTCGACCGTCTTCAGTCTGGACGAAAACCATGCCCTCATGTCCGTTGGAGAGCGCCTTCCCCTCAAACGCAAGCCTCACCTGCAACAACCTCGGGCTAAGTTGCTGGGCAGTGCACACAAACACCTGGCACGGTCTCTGGGTCCTCGCTTTCCAGCCAATTTCAAACACCCAAGATCCAACCTCCACGTACTTGTCACTACTCGATGGACTAGTGAGAAATCAGAAGACCTTTGGCTGGGAATAAGTAAAATAAACTGATTTGGTTGGTGGGTTGTCAGACCTTCGACGGGTATGCCTGCAGGCTGCAGCCCACTCCCGTCCTTTCAAACGCACCATGTGTATTTTTACGTGGTTGAAGAAACGGGGAAAGGCAATGAATGATAGAGAAGGTGCCGCTCAAGACTGCGCTTCAAGTTCTCATCCCGTTGCGGGCTCCCCAAATATCCGCATAATAAGGTATCAATACCAGCAAAGCATCGCTAACGAAGAAGGCTTGGAGAATGAAATGGCTGCTCGACAATTGGGCCACCTCAGCCACGCTGCAATGGAAGGACTTACCTTGCGGGCGCAGGCACCGTGGGCCAGACGCTCTGCCTAGGCGATCTTTGCGGTCCTGCTTCGGCTCTGCCAACCAAACGAGAGATTTTCGCACGCAATGAGGCCTACAGCGTGCTCTGCCTCGTTGTTCGCCAACGACAGGCCCGTTTGACCGACCGGCCAGTGGCAGACAGGAGGCAGCCACCAACAACACATCACTGAGACATTCACGTTTAGGCTCTTCCGTCGCTCAACCGAATCACTTCCAATTTTTCTTCTCACACCACTGAAGAAAGCATTCCGGTCGCCAACATCTTTCTGCTTTACGACCTCAAAATCTGGAGTTGACTCTGTCTCTTGACAATTCAGCTAAGTCGTGACGAACACATCAAGATTCACCGACAACAGCTAATCAATTATCTCAACTCTTTCCGTGCCGAGCAGCAACCATTCAGCAAGCTGAGTTGGCTGTCGGGTAACTCAACCACTTGAGCCAGATTATTCTGCAACCCAACATTCTCTCCCGCAATCAATACCATCAATAATGGTCCGCGGAAGCCGTGGTGGTAGAGGAAACTCGCGCGGAAGCTGGCACGGCCCTGCAGCAAACAGAGGCCGGAGCCAACGGTCGGATCGAGACGATCAAACCCATCGTCCGCGCCGTGTCTGCGCTTATTTCCTGGCTGGACGGTGCACATACGGTTCGTCGTGTCGATTCTCTCACGACGAACAAGATGTTGCGCGCGCCCGAGAGGAAGAGTCATCGTCCGGCGCCACTCCGGGTGAGGCCCAGCGGTCGCGCGATGACTACTTCGACTTCAAACGGCAGATCCGCCGATATGAGGGCTCATCAATATCGCTGTCTCGCTGGTCAGAGATTGCCAGCGTTTGGACACTCGCGACCAGCATCCTCGATGCGGGCAACCGTGAACTTCACCAGTCTGTCGCCAGAGACCTGGCCGACGAAGAGATCGGCGGCCCTTCCTTCGTGGGAATGACAGTCCGGCTCTGCAACATGGCACAGCAGCAACACTGCTTTGAAATTGCCCGACCTTTCCTGCGGACAATCACACACCCGTCACTTCTCCGCTGCTTGTCAATCGACAGCTTCGTGGGCACCATTTTTCGCGTCTTCGGCTGCAGCAACGGAAACCAGGGTGTGGCCTTTTTCTCCGGCCTTCACTCGAGACTAAACTTTTCGCAGGATACGCAGGAGGCGCTTTCCCTCATCATCTCGGCGTTGTACGAACTGCTTCACCGGGAACGAAAGTGTCTCCTGAACGACGACATGCCAAACCTCTTGGCGACGTTGGAGCTCAAGACCGAGCAGCTTCGAGTCGAGATGGGGGACGAATCAAGAGCGACCTCGGAACTGGAGAACGTGGCGGCACGGCTAGGCATACTAAGAAGAATGATGGACGGAGCGCGTGGTCGTCTTGCCAATGGAGCACCAGCTGAGGCTGTCTGTTCCCCTGGAGACCGTAACTTCGTCCACTCAACCTTCCCTATGCAAATCGTCGTCCCCGGTGGTGCCCACGACAATGACTTTGCAGACATCACAAAGATTCAGATCTTCCCGACCCTCGGAGAGGTGACCAGCGACGTTTCCGAGTACCTCCCCACGATTGACTTCTCCCAGCCACATTTTCTTCACGACCCTGTGCAGCGCCACCTCGATTCGGCCTTTCGACTGCTGCGACACGACATCTTCGGACCGCTCAAAGAAGCCGTCGGTGCCCTCCTGGCACAGCCCAACCTCGCCCATGCCGGCTTGTCCAGCCGTTTCATCACCGGAAACATCAGAGCGCACGCCTACTCGCAGGCCAGCGTGCAGCACTTGCTCATCGACGGGTGCCTGGAGGCAATTCTAGCCTTTGCCACCCCACCGCAACTGCGCAAACGTTCCTTGGCAGACCAGCGGCGTTGGTGGGAGGAATCCTCTCGGCTGGAGCCCGGCGGCTTGGTGTGCTTTGTGTCGTCCCGGGGAGACGACAAATCTCTTATGCTGTTTGTTGTTACCAAGAAAAATACGAAGGATGTCCCGGAAGGGCAGCACCGAAGCACGCTTGTCTCTGATGATTGCAAGCCGGCCATCACGGTAAGATTGGCATCAGAGGCGCAGTCGAGCGTTGCTATGCTCACGCGGATGTATGTCGAGAAGCAAGAGGGCTTGCTCATCGAGTTGCCGGGGTTGCTCCCGGAGACCTTTGTTCCAATTCTGGGGAACCTGCAGCGGATGATGCGAGATGGGGAGCTGGCATTCCGGCGCTACATCCTGCCCCATGATGACTCGCAATCCGGTGGTGCACAAGGAGCTGCTTCCATGTCACCACCGACATACGCACGCAGACCGGGGTTCAAGTTCCGGCTCCAGTCTATCACGCGGAGCGGACAGCCTGCGCTGGAGCTTGACCCGACGGAACCAGTAGGAAGCCTCAGCCCCGAGGTCTTGGAAAACGCCACAGGACTGGACCGCGGTCAGTCTAACGCTTTGATTGCGGCTCTTACCGGGGAGTATGCCCTCATCCAGGGCCCACCCGGCACTGGCAAGTCTTATGTCGGCGTTCAGCTGGTGCGGGTGTTGTTGGACCACAAGGACGAAGCTAACCTCGGCCCGATTTTGGTTATGTAAGTAGACTCCAACCTATTACTCTCATGGCCACAAGATGCTGACGGTTTCTACTCACAGCTGTTACACAAACCATGCTCTCGACCAGTTCTTGAAGCACCTCCTGGACGTCGGCATCGACAAGATTATCCGCATTGGAGGACAGAGCCGCGCCGAAGAACTGGAGGGCAAAAACCTGAGAATAGTGAGCAAGGGTATGGCAAAGACACCGGTGGAGAGCCGGATCTTGGGCCAGAACTATAGCGAACAGAAAACCTGTCTCGAGGACGCCGGCCACCGTCTCGCGCCACTGCACCAAGTCCGCAAAGGTCGCCTCACCTGGAGCAGCCTTCGGCACTTCCTCGTGCGGCATCGTCCAGAAATCGCTCGTCAATTTCAAGCCGAGAGCGAGGATAACTTTCAGCTGGTGGGTAGTGACCCCGTGCAAGTTTGGCTGGGGTGCAGGCAACATCAGTCAGGGGCAGTTGAACACGCCGGCGGCGAGACTGAGACGTTGGCGCTCACTGCGCGCGCGGAACGGAATATTTACTCACTGACTCAACACGAGCGCTGGGCACTCGCCAATAGCTGGAAAACCCAGCTGACTCAGATACAAAGCGATCACCTCTTCGAGCTTGTCGAGCAGGTCAAACAGCACAAGGAGCGAATCCACAGCGTTCACGACGACATGAACCGCCGCACACTCCTCCAGGCAGATGTCGTGGGAGTCACGACGACCGGTCTGGCTCGGAACATCAAGATGCTTCACCGTCTGGGCGTCAAAGTTGTCATCTGCGAGGAAGCCGCTGAGGTGATGGAACCGCACCTCATCTCGGCCCTGATGCCAGGAGTTGAGCACTTCATCCAGATTGGCGACCATCGACAGCTGCGTCCGCAGATTCAAAACTATCTGCAATTCAGTCTGGAAACGGCAGCCGGGCGCGCCCACCAGCTCGACCGCAGTCAGTTCGAGCGACGCGCCGTCGGGGAGCCGGGCTTGGCTCCCCTGCCCGTTGCCCAACTCAACGTGCAACGGCGGATGCGGCCGGAGATTTCGCAGCTCATTAGACGGGTCTACCCAAACCTCGTGGATCACGACTGCGTCAGGAACCTTCCCTCTGTCGTGGGCATGCGCGACAATCTCTTCTGGCTCGACCACGACCACCCCGAAGACGCCAAAGATGACGGCGCCCGGGTGAAGTCGCACAGCAACCCCTGGGAGGTGTCCTTGGCCGCCGCTCTGGTCCGGCACCTGGTACGACAGGGCGAGTACTCAAGCACGGACATCGCCCTTTTGACGCCCTACACGGGTCAGCTCCAAAAACTCCGCGCCGCACTGAGCAAAGATTTCGAGGTCTTCCTCAGCGACCGCGATCTTGAGACCCTTGCCAAAGAAAGTTTCGAAACCAACTCCAGCCATGAAGAATCCCCGGCAACAGACTCACCGCCGGCAAAGAAACAGAAGGTCATTGAAAAGAAAACTCTCCTCAAAACAATCCGCCTCGCCACAGTCGACAACTTCCAAGGCGAAGAAGCCAAGGTCATTGTCGTCTCCCTCGTCCGGAGCAACAACATCTCCAAAATTGGGTTTCTGCGAATCGAAAACCGAATCAACGTCCTCCTCAGCCGCGCGCAGCATGGCATGTATCTCATTGGTAACGCGAAAACTTACCGGAACGTGCCAATGTGGGCGGACGTTTTGCAGCAGCTCAATGCAAGACAAGCGGTCGGGTCTTCTATTGCTTTGGCATGTCCCCGACATCCTGATACACCAATCATGTGTTCCACGCCAGAAGACTTTGTTCTGAGAAGCCCTGAGGGAGGGTGCACACTCACCTGTGACAGACGTCTCGATCCGTGTGGACACAAGTGTCCGGCGCCATGTCACTCAAAGAGGCTGCATGATGCTTTCGACTGTCTGCAGCCTTGTCCAAGGCTGAGGGAGATGTGTTCGCATCCGTGTCCGAAGCTTTGTGGACAGGTTTGTGGGCCGTGTGTGGTTAGGGTGGATGGGGTGAAACTGCCCTGTGGACATGTCAAGAATGGTGTGGCTTGCTATCAGACGCTGGATTCGAAGGCGATCAGGTGTTCGCAGCCGGTTGAGAAAGTCGTGCCGTGGTGTGGACATACGGTTACTGTGCCGTGTTTTAGGGAAGTTGCACCGAATGTATTCACTTGTCCTATGGAATGTGGGCAGTTGTTGCCGTGTCGACATCCGTGTCCGGGCACTTGCGGACGGTGTCGGAGCGAAGGGGAGGGTGCCAAGGTCATGATTTCGCATCAGCGGTGCGATAAAGTGTGCGAGCGCCCGTATGGGACCTGCAATCATCGGTGTGCGAAGGCTTGTCATGATGGGCAGCCTTGTGGGATTTGTCAGGAAAAGTGCGAGGTAAGTGACTCTGTGTTTGTTGCTTCTCATCAGGCTGGGTCAGAAGCCACTATGGCTGCGCCCTGAGTTGTCATCTCCGTCTAGCCAAGCGGCTAATAGACGCATTCTGCCAAAACCGTTGGATATACTGACATTCACTACCTAGGTTCAATGTCCTCACTCACGCTGCAACCAGGAGTGCCAGAAACCCTGCGCCCCCTGCATCGAAAAGTGCACTTGGTCCTGTGCGCACCAGGGCTCCTGCATGTCACCCTGTGCAGCACCCTGCAACCGACTCCCCTGCAATGAGCGCTGCACGAATACTCTCCGATGCGGCCACCAGTGCCCAAGCTTTTGTGGCGAAGACTGCCCTCATGAGTTCTGTCAGCTGTGCTGCTCCCAGAAGGATGCCCAGGTCGACCTCATGGAATTCAAAACCTACAGCGAGATCAGCCTCGACGAAACTCCAGTCGTGGTACTCAGCTGCGGTCACTCCTTCACCGGTGAGACGCTGGACGGCCTGGTGGGCATGAACGGTGTCTACACCACCGACAAGTACGGACATTTCAACGGCTTGCAGGAGCTTTCAGGAGAACTGACTGCCGTACCCACCTGTCCGTACTGTAAAATCCCGATCCGCCAGTTTTCAACAAAGCGGTACAACCGCCTTATCAACAAGGCCGTGTTGGACGAAACTTCCAAGCGGTTCTTGGTCAACGGCCGTGACAGGCTGGCTGAGTTGGAGAAGCGGGTGGTCGAGGAGGAGGAAGAGCTTGACGCGTCGAGGTTTGCCGTCTCTGTCGGGTTGAACACCAAATCTGATCGGTACGCAGCTGCTACCCGACTGGACAAGGAGACGGCCAGGCTACGGAGGGAGATGAATGTGGAGCACCAACCGACTAAGAAGCTCTTTGACGCTGTACTGACCTTCCAGCGCCTCGAACGCGAGAACGCTGGACTGGAGCACGCGCTGAGAAATATTTCGCTCTCCGACTCCAACAGCTCGCCTTTCAGGCTGCAAGCCCCTGGACTGCAGTCCATCTCACAGCCAGTCTACGACCAGCAAATCGCCCTCGGCGCCCACCGCCTCCAACTACGCATCCAAGAAGCCATGCTGCGAGACACATTCACCATCCTATCCAGGCGCACGAACAGTTCCTTGACTCTCCCTTTGGCTCCAGCAAACCCACTTATCGAACGCAGCGCCCGCTTCCTGCAATTCTGCAAAGAACTCATTGGCGCCGCCACCAAAGCAAAACTCCCTCGCCTCGTTATCCCGACCTGTTTGGCCTATGCGCGCATCACACAGCTTTCGGGATGGTACCGTCGTGCAATTACCACTGCCGCTGCCATGGAAGGCGCGGAACCTAATATTCCTCCCGTCGCTCAGGGCACAGACAATGCACAGGACGGAAAGGAAGACACAACGGAAACAGCGCGTGCTCTTCTTGCCCAAGCACTGGAACTGTGTGACAGCTTTCCAGTAGGGAAGGACTACAAAGGCGAAGTTGAGGAAACGATGCGCATGTTTGAAGGCCCTAGATACGAAGCAGTCACTCCCGAGGAGATTGCCGCGATCAAGTCTGCTATGGTGAGCGGGCCTCGCGGACTGGCGACGCATGTTGGGCATTGGTATACGTGTCGGAATGGGCATCCGGTAAACTTTCCCCCTTTCTCTAACCCTCTACCCCTTACTGCCTAGCACGACTGTTGTCTTAAACCAAAAAAAACGTTACATCATGCTAACGGCTTCTGTCACAGTTTGCGATCGGAGAGTGTGGCATGCCCATGGAGCAGGCGCGGTGTCCGGAGTGCGGAGAGGCTATTGGAGGTACAAATCACATGGCCATGGATGGAACACAAAGGGACATGCGGATGGAGAGTGAATGAATTGGGATGTGTGGCTACAAACTGAATGCCTTGTTTGGGAGGAGTAGATGGTTATCTGTATGTTGATTCCGTGATATTCTGTGATGCGGAACCGTAAATCATGCCCGGATGCCTTGGCAACCATTCACAGTTCACCACCCCATAGTGAGGTCTTCTGGTAACAGAGTTAGGGCTGAACCTGACAATAGCATTTTACCTGTCGAGTAGTTGACCAGCTCTGCCGTCCTGTCCAATCTCACCCTCCCTTCTCCCCGTTCACCATCCCCTTTTCCCCTTCCCCTTACTTACCCCCACCATCCATCCCACCTCCCTCCGCAGCCGCACCGGATCTGGACAAAGAGCTCCGTCTCACGTTTGCTGTGGAATTTGCGAGGCAGACGCTTGCAACTGTCCTTCACTTGGGAGATAAGTCTGCTCTGGCGTATCTTCACGTGCACCTCGTCTTTGCTGATCACCTTGTTGCGGACGGCACTACGTACTTCGGATCCGATCATCCCTGGTCGACGATAGCGGCAGTACTCAATTCATTCCCTATCTCAGATGACGCTTACGATCGAATCCAACAGGGCGTTTCCGGAAGGGTCCCGCGGCCTCTGCCTGAGGACTGTTGTATGAAAGGGTTTTACTGGGCTGATCGGTACTTTTCATCGGACCTCTTTTCCAAGCTGCTTAACAGGCGCTATATGGACCGGAGTCATCTGAACCTGGACACGAAGAGGAAAGAACGATGCTGGTTTCTGGCCTTGAGATTAGTAGGACGATGTTCTCTTCAGTTCTGTGCGGAGCGTAAGAAGTTCAGTGCGGAATGCTAGTTAGTTACCGTTTTGGGCACGCGAAGATGGGTGGCCGGTGGAAACGAGGAGAGGATCGTTGTCGGCTTGGGAAACGTCGGATTTCACTCGTTTCCTTGTCCGCTTTGAGACTCTGTAGCCTGACGCTTGTCTTGGAGCCTCGGCTCAAACACAGCAGGGATTGGCCTTTGGAGGGGCTGCGCGCCAAGTTGACCGGTTCATCCACCAAAGCGGCGGCGATGTACGTTGGCCTACAGGCCGCCCTCCGCGGTTCTGCCGCGTCTCTTGCGCGCCGAAGCCGGTCCGAAGCCGACGCCTTCGGACTGAATTCAGGAAATTTACATTCCGAGACTCTTTCCGTGGGGATGAAGTACACTTGCTGATCCGCCTTGGTGCTCATTGCGTTAAACCATAAGATGCAAGATGCCGATCAGAATATGTTAGCGGGCCACAGCACGCCACCTCCGGAGACTAAGTACCAGAGCAGATAGGGATCTCTATGCGGTATTGGAGGGGATGTATGTTGGGTGACCAGTGTCGTTCCCAGCGGACGTTCGTTTTGGATTGGCACACGCAACCGTGGAACTGCAGGTGCTTCGTGGCCAGCCAGGCAGGGCGATGTGGGGGTTGGGAGTGTCCCGAGGAACCCCGCAACACAGCGACCGCTGGCGCGGTTCAGGGGTAAGTAAACAAACGTCACGTGACGTCTCCTAGCTCAAGGGGTCGTTAAAGGCTCGTCGTTGAGGCCCTTTAGGCTTCGCGCCTCCGGGCGAAATAAATTCCATCCATCCATCCATTCATCCATCCGTCGTTGAGGCTCGTCAATGGTCGTGATGCTACGCGGAGGTCGGATTCGAAGTGGCATACAACGCTGCGGGTTACAACGTGCCGGGCGATTACGAGCCGCAAGTCTTCCTTCAAAATCCAGTGTTTGTATAATACTTTGTTCTCTGAGGGTTAGCCACTTATCCTACCGCCAAGCACACGACGAGGACAAAAGCCCTGCGCGGCAGAGAGCTATAGGTGCCGGGAATGACATGGACGGAGTAGGATATAGCGATACCCTGACAAACAGTACAATGGCAATATAACCGAAAGAAATGCAGTTTTTCAAGATTCGGAAGTTCAGTTTCTCCCAATTCGTTGCGATGGTTAGAATCGGAATCGAAAGCGCGCTAATTGTGGAATGAATGGTTGACTTTATGACCAGCAGTCGTTTTAAGAATCTTGCACTCAAAGCATGCCGCCGCACATTATTATACTAAGTGTTCCCTCCTTCTCCTGGGAGTACGGTCTGACTACTCCACAAACCTCTCTGTCATCCTCGACATAGGAAAGCAAACGTCGCAATAGCACAGATTACGAGGCTTGTTTCCTTTCCTGAAAGAGGAAAAAGAGCATCTGGCTTCATCGTTATGTGCGGCTTCTTGTTCACTGCGTCAGCTATTGGCGCTACAAGTCCAAAGTGCCAAACTGGGAAAATCCAAGATATACACCCGAAGATGTCACAGTGGTCATCCCGACGATCCACAACCGCCCGGAGGAGCTGCGCCCCTCCCTCGAGAGCATCCTGGCCTGCAAACCGGCTAACCTGGTACTCGTGACCACGTGTAACAAGCACGAGGCCTTACGTCGCGTGGCGACAACCCGGATTCCACGTCTCCCGTCGAGATCGTCGTGCTGCACGTTGACAAGGCATACAAACGCCTCCAACTCTGCAAGGCGCTGGAGGATGAGCACGTCAAGACGGCCATCACGGCCATGGCCGACGACGACGTGGAGTGGCCGTCAACCCTGATGCCGTGGCTGCTCGCGCCATTCGAGGACGACAGGATGGGCGGAGTCGGGACGTGCCAGCGGGTGAAGCGCGTCGTCAACGGGGACATCGCGACGCGTATCTTCAACTGGCTAGGGGCTGCGTACATCGAGCGACGCAAGTTTGAGATCTCGGCGACGCACAACATCGACGGCGGCACGTCGTGCATGTCCGGGAGTACGGGTGCCTACCGCACCGAGATCCTGAAGAGGTATAAGTTCTTGAGGAACTTCAAGAATGAGAAACGGGGAAGGTACATCCTTAATGCCGACGATGACAATTTTGTAACGCGGTGGCTGGTGGCCCACCAGTGGAAGACCTGGATACAGTACGAGCCCGAGTGCAAAATTGAGACGACGCTCGAGAATAGCACGAAGTTCTTCTACCAGTGCTTGCGATGGGCAAGGAGCAATTGGAGGAGCAACTGGACCAGTCTGGTGCCCGACAAATACGTGCTGACGTCAGTTACGCCTGGTTTCACCTCTCTACACTAAACTCTCCTCCGCTAAGGGTTTTTAACCAACTCCAGTCGACAGCCGTGGTGTACGTACGCACTGCATATCGCGACGTTCACCTCGCTGGCCTTCGTGATCGACCCGCTCTTGCTCTTCACGTGCTGGTGGGGTACGGAAAACTGGCAGCCTAGCAACTGGCGCACCCTGCTTGCGGCGGAGATTGCGTTCATGTTCGGCTTCACCAAAGTGGTGAAACTGGTTGGACTGCTTCGCAGGAATCCTCGTGACATCATGTTTCTGCCGGTGTCAATCTTGTTTGGCTACTTCCATGGTCTGATCAAGCTCTATGCGCTGTGCACACTCAAGGAGGTAAACCACGAGCGCCCTCCAAACCCGCCCCACATACAGGCGATGATGATCTGACATCGAAGCACAGACGTCCTGGGGAAGTCGCGAGGACGGTGATGAACACAGCTATTTCCGTCTGCAGGAGAAGCCTGCCCGCAGCTAAAGCATAGCAATGCCGCTCCAACTCCGGTCACCCGCGCGAGTCTTCCTCAGAGACCACCCACCGTTGACATCTCTTGCGCTCCTGTCTCCGCTGCCGAGGGCCTGTCGTTCCCTACAGAAGCTGATCTCCGCATCTTTCGCGGCGGCGGTCCATGTCGTCTGCGAATGCCTCGGATTGGTGCCAACGGTTGTCGGATGGTGGAAGCCAGTCAGTCCGGGCTTGTTCCACGCAGCTTATTCTCCATTCGAATGTGATGTCACCCCAAGAGCCAGGTAGGGTAACTCTCTGCCGCGACTCATTGTTGAAATAGATGGTCAACCGTGTGCATAAAAACAGTGCCAGGGCCGAGGGCGAGCGTTATCGTAAGCTCTTGTGCTTTTGGCGCGATATTCTCTCGATTCGCGAACCCGAATGCGGACGTACCATCGCCGTCGTTGTCCATGAATGTGTTGTCCGTGAATGTGGAAAACATGCCGCCGCGCTGATCGGAATCGTCGCGCGACCTGTCCGGTGATGCCTTGTGCGTATTGGCGTCGTAGGAAAACTTGGGAGATGCAGGCCGGGTGAAAGTGTATGTGGTCTCAGGTTCCAAGAACTTGGTTGGAGAGCCTACACCCTCTATTCCACTGAGCATCTGGGTGTATTTTCTCAAACTTCCGGTCTGCCCATGTTCCTCGGAGGGAGTGGATGGCTGTGGATAATGCATGTGCAGGTTGAGAGCTGAGGAACGGACTTGTAGCAATGAGGTTTGTTGGATGGTCGTCCCAACGAGAAGTCAGCCAGCGTACACTTATGGTCGTGGCAGGCACTCCCGTTGTCGCGCTCCTTACCTGCCGCTACCCTGAAAGCGCGCACTGTTCTCCAGCCCAACACCTCGTGTCCTGGGTTCTCTCGGCGAGACCGACAAGAGGCCCACCTACACTCGTCCCCTAGGCGCTGGTAGTCCGTCGCAGGTCGAGTCACTCAGTCAGTCTAAGGGCAAATCTCGCCAATGATTGGCAGGGATGTGGCGCCAGCTGCAGGATGCATATCGGCGAGGCGATCGTCAGACAGAACAGATTGCCAGTCCGCATGAACAGCTCTTGTGCATCTTGGTTGGGCATCTCGGGAAGTCCGTAAGTGGAGACGTTCGAAAGTGGCACATCAGACCGCGGTAAAGGACCCTCACGAACTGCTTGCTCAGGGTTTAGGTCGGCCGCCAACACTGTGAGCAACTGGTTCAGGGTATGCTCTTGCAGGGAAGGGTTAGGGGGTAGAGACTTCGCAACTCTTTCGGTGTGCCGTCGTATATCCAATCTTTTCCGTGCTCTCGTACCTTGAGGGTACCTCTTACGATCCCTGTTAGTTCTGCACGCGAACCTGCTCGGTCGTGCTTGTCGTTTAACCCCACCTAGACGCGGCCCTCGGTCTCAGCTCGTCGGACGGCAAAGGCAGCCGGAGCAGCTTGTACCAGAAACTTTCTCGGTCGTGCCGTCTTGGGCCCCGCCGTCAGCATCATTCCAACAGCCTGCCCCGTAGCCACTCGCTTGCAGATCCGTTCATTTGCCGCCGTTCTTGACTCGCTGTCGACGGCTGGCTAGGTGGCTGGCGTCAGGCAAAGGGCCAGCTACGGTATGAGAATGTCAGGCTGAGTGACATCGCAGTGACAAGGCCCTCTTGCGTTGTCTTCGGTGTGCTCAGGGGTAGCAATGGCTGTCGTGCACAGCGAGGACCGACGGAAGCGAGCTGTCGGCAACCTCAGCCACAATCACACCGTAGGTTTTGCCCTGTATTTGTCGATGTTTGTCTCATCCATGCCTGAGCAGGAGGCATCTACGAGGCCTATCGGTCACTGATCGTTGTCATGAACAAGGACTTCGGTTGGACCCAGCACACCGACTGTGGGCCGCACGAAGCAACCCGGCCTCCCGAGGGGGCTATTGAATACGGTCGGGCCAAGCAGGCAGGCCAAGGTTGTGTTGTTGCTTTTCGCCGTAAAAACGAGCAAGGCTTCGTGCGTCAGGGCGTGAGCTGCGAAGAACGGTGCGCGCACAAGCAGCCGTCTGCAAGATGGGGATCGGCGAGCTGGGCATTGCCACTGTTAGGGTCTCTGATGTTGAATTCTGGTGTACGTTCGGTGGGCATCTCGGTACACCCCCGTTGCCAACGAGAACCCCCGCAATGACGCTCACGCCTCGTCATGCTTGGCCAGCTCGGCCAGCCTTGTCTTTCCCGGTTTTGGCTTGCCACGGGGACACAGTTGACCGGCAACTGCCTCTGAAGTACATTTGACTGGATGCCTTGCTGCAAGCGAGAGCCAATATGCTTCTGTGGCCAAGAAGCGTCCTTGATTCTGTGAACACAACTTGCCTACTCCTCTCCCGCATCGCTCCGAACAGCCACCATGGTGCCCACTGCCTAAACCGCCACGCCAGACGAGGCAACCAGGCTGGTGTACGAACTCCTAATCGTTATCCATTTAACTAGCAGACCACTTGATGCACGGCATCAGACGAGCTTTACCCCATCATACGCAACATCACCGGTCCTAGCTACTTCCCTTTCAAATGGAGCTCGATGGCAGATGGATCGCTTGTTTGACGCAGTATTTTCAGAGGAATGAATCCGATATTCAGTGTCCTGAATGTGACACAATCGTGCGGATAGAACGGACCGCTTTGGATCCTGAAGATGGCATCCTTAACCCCACAAGGGAGGCTTTGAGGTGTCATGTCACCACATCTCATCCACATACCAGGGGCATCAACGAAATAGTGAAGCGGCTTGGTCTGAAGTGCAATGTGAGGCTGCGCAGGCGCCGGGAAACGGGTTCGTACTCTTCTTCTCTTGTGCCGTGCTCTGGCTGACAGCCTTATCAGGGACGGGGAGGAAACACGCGGCGCGTCCGGCACAAACGCCAATCCAGAGCTCCCAAAAACTTCGCGCAGGGTGAGATTTCAAAACCCAGAAAACCGAGGCGTACCCTCCCCATTCAGCGATAGGGCCCAACCATCGCCAGAGCCTCACTGCCACCGAGATCGGAGGACGGTCCAGATTGCCGCCCAAGCAAAGCAAGGCCCGCCTGGGCCATACCTCGGGGTCTCATCGCCAGTCTCACACCCACCCAGCCCGGACAGCCTTGCCGCCGCCGAGCTTGAACCATGACCCCACCAAAACCATTACGCAGCCCAAGACCCGGCCAATCTCGCAGGAGCAGCTGATGGCCGAGGTCAAGGGTATCTACGCCAGCCTGGTGATGATTGAGCGCAAATGCATCGAAGTGGACAACGATCTCAGTTCGCACATTAGCACCTCTGGCGAGCCCAAGAATTCGCAAGCCAACCCTCCACCCAAGCTCAACAATGACCAGTGGCAGGCTCTCATTGCCCTTCACCGTAGCTTGCTCCACGAGTACCACGACTTCTTCCTCGCTTCGCAACATCCGTTGGCGAGCCCGGCGTTGAGAAGATTGGCCGCCAAGTACGCAATTCCCGCACCGGATATGGCGCCACGGCATTCACACTTTTTTGGAGCTTCTGAGGCACCGTCTGCCGGCCAGCCTATACCACATACTTACGTTCATTTACATGGCCTACTCCATGATGGCCTTGTTCTACGAAACGGCTCCCGCGTTTGAGGACACGTGGATCGAGTGTCTGGGTGATCTTGCCCGCTACCGCATGGCTATTGAGGACGACGACATTCGGGACCGCGAAGTGTGGACCGCTGTGAGCCGTCACTGGTATTTACGCGCCTCCGACAAAGCGCCGACAACGGGACGCCTCTACCACCACTTGGCGATTCTCGCTCGGCCCAACGCCCAGCAACAGCTCTACTACTACACCAAGTCGCTCTGCGTGAAAATGCCTTTCCCCTCTGCCCGCGAAAGCATCATGACCTTGTTTGAGCCCATCATGTCACCCAACCCTAAGCCACAGCAGACCAGCGTCCGGCCCGTAGAGCTGTACTTCGTTATAATACATGGCATCTTGTTCAGCAAGAAGCAGGACAAGAAGCTGAAGCTATCAATAGACCAGTTTCCTCAAGTTGATCAACGACCACATCGGTCGTCCCACTTATCGATGGCTCGGACCTGGGTATGCACAGTTTACGGCTAGTCGATTTGCAATATGTTTGTGGCTAATAGTGCGATTAGGTACCACATTGGCATTTCCAACATCTGCGCGCTGATGGGGTACGGGGACGAGAGCAACCCGATTGCTCAGGCGATCAAAGTCACACGTCCCATCGATACCGAATCCCAAGACCAGCCAATGCCAGATTCGGAAACGCCGGCCCCTTCGCCCAGCATCAGCGCCAGCAAGCAGTTCCTCAGCACGCGCAAGTTCTTCAACGCCACCTACGATGTGGTTTGCCGTCGCTTTGGCGATCACAACACCCTCCCCTTTCTTCACGTCACCCTCGTCTTCATCCACCAACTTACGTTCTTCCCGGAGGCTATGGCCCACGTGGCATCCCACGTCCCTTGGAAACTGACAGCATTCATGCTCAATGCGTTGATTGGTTCGTCGTCGCCTCAAAACGTTTCGCAGTCTCTGGCTCGTTTTTTGGAAAGTGGAGAGGCGTTCCCGGGCTGGAATGAGAAGCAGGGGGAGGAGAAGAAGAACGATGGCGCGGAGGCCGGGGAGCCGCGGCCGGGGACGCCGAAGCGTCGGCCGCTGCCCGAGGACTTTGCGCTGCGGGGCTTTCCTTTCGGGAAGGAATACTTCCCCGTCGGGTGGTTTGTGACGGAGGAGACGATCGACGACGAAGACAAGTATTTTGAGGTCCCGTCGATGACCAAGGAAAGGATGGAGAGGATAGTGTGGCTCGGATGCCGCATCGCCGAGAAGGAAGGCAAGTGGCTCCGCTTCGACAAGGAGAACTGGCGGTTCGGGGTGAACCCGGAGTATGAGGTGGAACCGGACTGGAGATGCCGATGCTGGCAACGCCGGGTGAGAGCGTCGATTGTGGTGAGCTTCCCGATGCGGCAGCTAAGGCTTAAGTGAGCGACATCGCAATCCCAGGTACAGTTAAACGGCATTCGCCTCCTAAGTTCCTTTTGGCTGAGGCTGGATGTTTCGTTGCACGCATGTCTTCATGTTTGTGTGAGTGTCAAAAAACAAGGGCAAGGCGCCGCGTGACTTCAGCGCACCCGAGCACCGACCACCGCCCGAGATATTTCCCTGCGCGGTCTGCCCTGGGCCTAGAGGTATATTCCCGACGGGTGGTTTGCCACTAGGGAGCGGATTGACGACTTCGAGGTGCCTTTATAATGGATGAAGAAGCGGGTGCTCTGGCTTAGGTTCTCTATTGCAATGAGGGGAATTAGCAAGTGGCTGCACTTCAACAAACGGACTCGACGATTTGGCGTCAGCCGTAGCTCGGAGGCAAATAAGGCAGGCATGTTCTCACTCACAATGGAAGACCGTTTAGTCACAAGGTGACAGGTTTGCTTCTGTTAACTACTCAATCTCGTGCCATGAAATGACTTGCAGCTCTAACTGGACAGAACTAACGAACCCTGTTGAACTGAGTGGGTTCCTTGGCACCAAGATTCACGGACTGAGCACTGATGTTCAATGCGAGACTCTCAGTCAACACAGATCCATCACAATGACGCAGTTCCTGCCATAAACGCCATATCATAGCACACTGTCTCTATATAAGGGGGGTAATTCCCCTGGGAGGATTAGAGAGGACAATTTTCTGTTCCAACAAAAAAGGGGACATTCTGAGACACCCTAACCCACTATCTTGATCCTTCATTTGTGTGGTCACTCTGGAATCGTGACTTCAATTCAAGCCTCATTCTCATACCTCAATCTGTTCAATACCAATGATCTAAGCTTACTTGAGCATGTAACTGTTGGCTGCCCAACAAACCCCACGCGTTCGGCCCAGCGGCCAGTCCAGGGCTTCCATAGTTGGCTATTGCCGGCGAATGCGTCCAGCGTACCCTTTCCGTACCCTGTCCATTCTTTTGTAAGAATGGGTATTGATGTGACGTGGAAGCGCATCTGAGGACCAACGAGCTCGACGACGTGGCAAAACCACATCCCGAGCTTCATCATGAGTACCTCCCCTGTCCGTGCTGTTGCCGTTGGATGTACTGGCTGGCTTTCTTGGATCTGGCGTCCATAAGATCTCAGGGGTAGTAAACAAATCGGGTTACCCTGGAACCATATGAGCCGTACTGTCACGGGATAGTCCCGTGACAGGGTTAGGGCTACGTTATGTGGGGAGATGGTCTGTGCGTAGCTCTGCCCTGCATGGTTTTCCCGTAGCTGCGCACAGCCCACAGTTCTGGTTCCTTGCGCAACTATTGCAGTTCAACACCATACCCAAGACTGCCTATCAATCCCGTGATACGTACAACGATGCTATTCAACTCCTCCGTCCGGACCCACAAGGACCACCACGGTACAATACAATACAATACAATTTATTGACGCCCGGCGGATAACCCGAAAGGGCAACTATACAATATGACTATACATTTCCCAGATATGTCCTGGTCTCGTCCAAGCCCATACAAAGTTCATTTTAGTTCATGTCTTTTCTTATACCATTCCTCTGCGGATTCTTGTGGGTTAGTAGGGTTTTTAGTAGGCTGACTTGGAGGCGATTCTCCAAGTGTTCAACGTCCTATCTTCGGTGGCTGAAGCGGTGCCTGCTGTCCGTGGCACGAGGTGAGGGGTGTGGGTTGGGGGTGTTGAGGTGGGTTGGGTGGTTTAGTCGGCCTGCGGTTGGTTCGTGTCAAGGAAGTAATCTGCGAAATCCGCTCCAGACATGTTTGTTGGATTCTCACCGCACGGTCCACAAGCAATTTTTTGGCGCTGTGGGTCCTCGCCATGGCTCATTACCCCCGCTATTCCTTTTTTCCACCATCTACAGTATATTCCCCTACAGTCTCTACCCGGCAGCCCATAAACAATACATTTACTATCCCGTTTTACTAGGCTCGATGGTGCATATACACTGCTGTATAACAAATACTACGTTGACTTGCTACTTCAAATTTAGAAAGGGCTTGCTATGTGCGATTCAAACAGCCAGAGGCTCTTTTCTTCAGATGCAATCTGGTCTTTAGTGGCAGGGCGCATGGATTCTCGTCTTAGCTGTCACGTGGTAATAAGGCTGCAGGCAACGCCGCGATTGCCGCCCAAGTCCGACATCCTTCATCTTCCAGTCGGCCCAGCACTGCTATTTCCTCCACAACACCACCCACAGTCAATACCACCACGAGTTCTGCCTGCTCTGCTTGCCCGCTCACCGTGACACAAGCTCTAGAGGCATTCAAAAGCCTGGCAGACTCTGTCGACAAAGATTTCTCGTGTCGCCGATGGCTTCGTTAATCTGGACACGGCCAATCCTCGAGCCCAGATTCAAGGTGCCGCGTGGTCGCCCTGCCGAGCTTGCGGCCTAGGTTTGGATTTGCGTTTTATGAAGTCATGATGTGACGTGGAGAAGACGCATTTCTGGTTTCCGTCGGGTGGTGAATCAAGCAGCGCGAACGACGATTGTGCATTGGCCAGATGAATGCTGCCCACAAGTCAAAGCGCCAAGCCAAGGCTTGGCTCAACGCAAGTCAAAGCAAGTCAAATCGACCCCAAAATTTGGTCAAGGCAAGTCAAGTCGAAGGCAGCTC